TTCTAAAAATTATTAATAATTATTCTAGAAAGTTATAAGTAATCTTAATTAAGAATTAATAAAGAATAAAGGATTATCTTAAGAAGTAGTATCAGAGTAAAGAACTTATTATAAGGATAAAGCTAAAGGCAATCTAAAATAATAATGCTAGAGAACTTAAATAAACCCTTAATAAATAAAGCTAATAAATAGGAATTAGTGCGTAATATATTGTCTTATACACCTTAAGTTAGAATAATATAGCTAAACACATAATTCAGATAACAGAAAACAACATTTAAGTAATATTAAAGGAATCTAAGTTACTACTTAAACTATAGGACAAAGCAGCAAAGACTAAGACATATATCTGTAACTAGACTATAGTTGGCTCAGAGATAGATAGACAAAGAATCACCCTTAAGGAAGCCTAGACTAAGACAAAACTCTTAATTAACTATATCCGGATCTAGGGATGTAAGTATTATTTATATATAAATCTAAAGTCGCTGCTAGCATCAGGGAGACAAGACAAGCTAATAAATCAGGGCTGAGTAAGAGTATTTATAGGATACAAAGAGAACATAATAAAGTAGTTTTATATCTACACACTAAATCTCAGATATATAACTCGTTCCTTAGTTATAACATTTGATGAACTCTAGAAGAGTGGAACTATTGACCTTTGTATAAGAGGGACCCCTAATTCTTTACTAGATTATGCATTAAAAAGACGACCTTAAAAGAAGCCTATTATTAATTAAGATACTGAACTAAATTCAGTTATACTATATATAGTTAACTTAATTAATCAGGCATTTTCTATACTAATAATAAAGAAAATTAACTTATTAGTAAAGACATATCGTATGTAGCCTGCGTGGAGGCTCTGTGGGTATCGAAATTGACGAATCAGGCTGTTGATAATTTTTTCGAGTAGTTTTGCGAATTCTAGCATTTTTCAGCTGATTTTGTCGAGTTTTGTATATTGAAGGCTTCAGACTGTCCTTGTTGTGTTGCTTAAGGAACTAACTACCTAAAGGGGATTTGGCTGTACATGTACAGCCAAATACACGTGACCTACTAGCGTGCAAATATCTCCTGTATCATGGTACAGGAAATGAGTAGACTAGTACCCTTTAGGACTAGACTGAATGGATGGCCGTACCTGGTCAACTAATTATGTACATTACTGGACATATTTGACCATGTTTCGACAGATTTGAACAACAATTAGTGGAATGATAAAAGATAGAAAAAAAAGGGTTGTTTTGAGGATGGGACGGAAGTCTCATTATTTCCGTTACCTAGCTCCGGTCTTAGAACAGCGCCACAAGCTCAAAGACATTGCCACTCTTCTGGGCGGACCAGAGCAAAGAGCGGTGCGTGAAAATGGTCTACTGGGCTCTCTCGACTGGCTGGGAATGCATTGCCATACTTTCCACCTTAAGCATTCACGTCCGCGTTCTTAGCCAGCAACATCTCCACAACCTTCTCATGACCTTGCAATGATGCCACGTATAGTGCATTGCCATACTCTTCATCTTGAGCATTCACGTCCGCGTTCTTGGCCAGCAACATCTCCACCACCTTCTCTTGACCTTGCCATGATGCCGCGTATAGTGCATTGCCATACTCTTCATCTTGAGCATTCACGTCCGCGTTCTTGGCCAGCAACATCTCCACCACCTTCTCTTGACCTTGCCATGATGCCGCGTATAGTGCATTGCCATACTCTTCATCTTGAGCATTCACGTCCGCGTTCTTGGCCAGCAACATCTCCACCACCTTCTCTTGACCTTGCCATGATGCCGCGTATAGTGCATTGCCATACTCTTCATCTTGAGCATTCACGTCCGCGTTCTTGGCCAGCAACATCTCCACCACCTTCTCTTGACCTTGCCATGATGCCGCGTGTAGTGCATTGCCATACTCTCCACCTTGAGCATTCACGTCTGCGTTCTTGGCCAGCAACATCTTCACCACCTTCTCATGACCTTTTGATGATGCCGCGTGTAGTGCATTGCCATAAACTCCATCTTGAGCATTCACATCCGCGTTCTTGGCCAGTAACATCTCCATCACCTTCTTGTCACCTTGCCATGATGCCGCCTGTAGTGCATTGCCATAAGCTACTAGAGATTAGTATAATTATATAATAATTAGTCTGTTAAAACCAATTATTAGTACTTAGGTAAACAACTTAGCAATTATTTCTTAATAACTTTCTAATATAATTAAATTTAAAAAAGACTTTACTTATATCTTTAAGATTAAGGATCTAAGGGAGATTAAAAGGATTCTTAGTATAAGAGTAACTTATAATTGCTAGTAAAAGACTTTATATCTAGACTAGTTAACCTATATTAAAAAAATAATATTAGAACTTTAAATAAAAAAGGACAAGTATAGACTAGTTAAGATACTAATTAATAAATATAACGCTCTAGCCTTATTATTAAATAAGGATAAACAAATAGATATATATTAATACTAGAAGTATGTCAGAAGCATTATATATATAATATTAAATACAAGACCAGATATTATATTTATAATAATAAACCTTGCTTAGTTTATATCAGATCTAATAAAGCGTTATAAATCTATAGTAAAGCATCTTTTAAGATACTTGCACTTAATAAAGGATATAAGAATCTAATATAGACTAGAAACTCTGTCTTTAGTAGGATATTCTGATGCAGACTATACTAGCAATAAGGTAGATTAAAAGTCTATAATTAGTAGCATCTTTATTCTTATAAAGAGAGCAGTATTATAACTAAGCTAAAAACAACGATTTATAGCTATATTAACAATAGAGGCTAAGTATATCAGTATATTAACTTATTTAAAATAAGTAATCTAGCTTGCTTAATTACTCTGGGACATAAAGTTCTTATAATACTTAGGAGAAAGCTAATAGATTATAAACCTCTTAAGAGATAACTAATCTACTTTAGCGCTTATTAAGAATCTATATATATATAATTAATCAAAGCATATTAATATTATATATTATTATGTTAGAGACCTTATACAATATAATAAGATTAAGATTAATTATATTCTAATAGATAAGATAATAGCTAATAGACTAACCAAACCCCTTATTAGACTACTATTTAATAACTATGTGTCTTTACTCAGATTAACAAGGTCTTAAAATAAGTCACAAGCTGATTTAGCTTAAGGGGGAGTATTAAGAATACATGCTGATTAGCAGACTATAGTCTGTACTATTTGGCTGTACACGTATAGCCAAATATTGTCTGATCAGATTATTCCTAATCAAGTATAGTATAGGATTTTATGTGCTAGTAGTATAGGATATACCATGTAATCTATACACTAGCAGAATCTACACTTAATGTATAGATATACTATAATCTCACTTTATATATAAGTTATGACTATTAATAGTATTAATAGCTGTTCTTAATCTGTATACTTATTTAATAATAAGTATAATTATATTTTTTTACTTAAAAAGATAATGTCTTAGTTATAATAAAGTATTATAGACTAGTGCTAAGCAATAAGCAAGCTATTTATTTATTATTTTTAGAATATAGTTTAAGATATTATTTAGCCTTAGTGCTTTCTCTTTAAGGATTTCTAAGATTATATTAGTAATTTCTTATTTACTAATATTTATATCTAGTTATAACAAGATAGAGTATTATATAGATTCTAATTCTGTTAAGTCTGCTTACTAAAGGGAGAGGAAGAACTTTTCTTATAGAATATCTAGCTTTTCTATAAGAGTTTTAATTATATAGATATAATTACTTCTAGTTATAATTAATAAGGGCAGTTAAAAGGCTTATTTAATTCTCCTGTCTTTTTTCTAACTTATTTTATAAGTCTTTATACTCCTTTATTATTCCTTACTACTTCTTTAATCTTTTTATAAAAGCTTATTACTTTTGCCTTTTAAATAATACTTATCTTATGTCTTCTTATCTTCTTATATACCTCTTTAGCTATTATTATATAGGTTTATAAGAGTTTATAATATTTAGCTTATATATCTTTAATAGCTTTATAATATTCTTATAATTAGTATTTATTTAATCTGCTTAACGCTCTGCTTTATAAGATGTTATACTTAATAGCGTTTATAACTACTTATATAATATTATAAATCTATAACGTGGTTCATAATCATCCCGCGTATATAATCGTACTAATATTTATATTTAGCTATAACAGGATAAGGTATTATATAGATTCTAGGTCTATTAGGTCTACTTATTAAGGGGGGAGAAAGAACTTTTCTTATAAAGTATCTAGCTTTTCTGTAAGTGTTTTAGCTATATAAATATAAATACTTTTAATTATAATTAATAGAGGTAATTAAGGGGGCTTATTTAATTTTTTTGTCTTTTTTCTAGCCTATTTTGCAAGTCTTTACGCTTCTTTATTATTCTTTACTACTTCTTTAATCTTTTTATAAAAGCTTATTACTTTTGCCTTTTAAATAATACTTATCTTATGTCTTCTTATCTTCTTATATACCTCTTTAGCTATTATTATATAGGTTTATAAGAGTTTATAATATTTAGCCTGTATGTCTTTAATAGCTTTATTATATTCTTGTAACTAGTATTTATTTGATTTACTTAATGCCTTACTCTATAAGGTGTTATACTTAATAATATTTGTAACTGCTTATATAATATTATGAACCTGTATATTAATCTGTTCCTTAGTTAGTAATTCTTCCTTATTTATAATAAATTATTCTAAAGATTCTAGCAAGATTTTGTTATTTATTTTTTTCTAATTTTTTCTAAGTTTAGTTACAAATTATTATATTTAAAGACAAAAGAATATTTTAATTAAAATATAATTTAATAATTATATAAGATTTTATCTTATAAGTGTTAAATTACTATTAAGCTACTAGTATACTAGTAGTTATATAACTTGAGGCTATATCTGTTTAGGCCTAGCATTACTTACTAGCTACTAAGTAAGATTATACTTAAACTTTAGATAAAAGTTAGATTTAACTTCTGAATAGTTTACTATATTAATTAGTTAATTAAGTTTAGATATCTATAAATAGCAGAAGCAATTTAGCATTACTTTTAACAGATTATAAGCCTAGTAAGCACTCTCTAAACGCTAATAAATAAACAGAATACTAAGTAATTAAAGGAGATTATAATTAGTAGTATCCTGTTACCCTTATTTAGTAATTACCTTAAAAGGTCCTAAATCTGCCTAAGTAATTTTAGGATCTTAAGCTAATTAGACCCTCTTTTAGCTTTAAAGCTCCTCTAAATCTCCTTACAGCCTTTGAAGCCTATTTAAAGCCTTCTCAAGATAAGCAGCAATAATAATAACAATCACAAGAAGCGAGAGAAGCTCAAGGGCTTTAAGAACTAGCCTTATTAGTCCAATTTGGCCCATCTACGTCTAATAGAAAAAGAGTTATAAAGATACATCGCCCCTAGGCCACTAAATGACCTAAATAACTATAGGACCATAAGGGCAGTATACTACCTAAAGAGAGACGTCAGTAATAAGCTGTTTTAGAGCATTAAGACTATTAATAACCTATAGCTCATCTGGAATCATCTTAAATTGGTATGCTCACAAACAAGGCAAGATATCATCTATGCATCTCTACAAGAGCTCTTCTTTCATTCTGCTAATTATAAGGCTCTTGGCCTTAAGAAGTCTATTAATGCTCACGTTAGTAAGATATTAGCTATTATTAAACGGATTTGTATAGCTGTCAACCTTACAAGAGACATCTAGAAGAACATTCAGATAATTTAGCTCTTTAAAGATTTCCCTTCCTAATTTAACAGCAAAAAAGAGCATATCCTTAACTAGAAGGATATAAAACTAGCTAACGTTTAGCAGATACTTGCCTTTAAAGAAGTACAAATTAATATAAACCTTAAGATAGGCCTGTTATCTAAGGCAGTAATAATGTAAGGTTTAGAAGTAAGCAACGTAAGAACCTGACTAAGATCTAATACTATAACTATAATGAACTTGGCCACTTTGTAAGAGACTATAAACTGGCTAAATAGACTGAAAGAAGCATTAATAAAAGGAGAAATATTACTTAATTAAAACGGCTAGTATCTAAACGCTATATTAACTAGGTAAAGGCTGATGACAATACAGAAAGCGACTCTAAACAGCAAGAATTCCCTTATAGTATTATTTATATATTAAAGTTAAGCAAGCTTAATAAAGAACATAATTAGTATATTAATTCTTGCGCTAGCAAATATATTACTAGCTAGAGCAATTAGTTTCAAGTACTAACAATTATAAACAAATAATTTACTACTGCTAATACTAGTATTATTATAGCTAAACAGATTAGTATCATCAGAATTAAGATAGAAGACGGCTATATAGATATTAATGACGTAGCGTACGCGCCTGCTTGTACAAGCAACCTCTTATCTCTTAGCTAATTAAAGTTAAATAGAGTGAAATACATGAATATAAATAATTATATAGTACTTGTTATTAATAAAGAAATTATCGCCCGCGCAACTCTTAAGGATAACCTTTTTGTGCTTAATAATACTTATGCTGCTATCCTGATAGCTGTGTAAGGCAGACTAATATTCAAAACAACTGAGGACCTATAATAGCAACTATAACACTATCGACTTGGCCACGTAAGCTATATCTGAGTCGCTTAGGCTAACAGGATGTCTACTAGCATAGATTTAGCTGTTTTAGATACAGACCCTGCTATTATTAACATAGAATTAGTCTTTTTTAGAGAAGTAAACAAGCTCTAAGAGAGTAGCCAAATCTGTAAGCCCTGTATTAAAAGCAAGTAAACTCGGATAATCTATTACAAAGGAAGCTAAAAAGCTATAAGGAAGCTCGAATTAGTCCACTCTGACCTTTAAGGACCCTATTATTCTGCCTCTTTTTGTGGCAAGCACTACACTATAGTCCTAGAGGACAACTATATAAAGAAGAGCTAGATAAGCTTCCTAATACAGAAATCAGATGCGTATAAGCACTTTAAGAACTAGCACGTTATAGTTGTTGCTAAATTAAGGTATCTATTAGTAGCGCTTTAA